GCCGCAGCTCGCCCGTGCCCTCGGCCAGCAGCTCCGGGGCTTTGCCAAACAGGTCCTTGTCCCCTCGGAGCTCTGCCACGCTGCCCGCGTGCTCGGCCGGGCCCGCCACGCTGCACACAGCATCACCAAGCACAATCCGCTTGGAAACTGAGGGAAGGGGAAGGGAGTTTGATTTATCTTGCTCGTGCTGAAGCTTTAATTCTGCGTGGCTTTCATCATCTAAGGAAGAAAAATAAAAACAGTTTGTCATGGAGCAACACTTCAGCTGTACTGGGTCAGGATCCGGGGTCTCTGCTTCCCAAGAGAAAAGACAGATTTGTGATTAAAGAGGGCACTCTTCATGGAGCAGACACAAGACATAAAGCTGTGCAATGCAGGTCAGCAGTTGAAGCAATGGATATATTAACACACTGAACTTCCTTAAGCAACAGCACTGCACACACAAGCAGAAAGATCCAAATACATGGATGGACATTAAAAAAAAAACAAACAAAGATTTGCAGAAAGTGAATCAACCAGGAGAGCACAAATACCTGACAAATAAGCAAACAGAAGCACTTTAGCTTGCTGTCTACTGTCAGAGGCAGGGCAGTGTTAACCTGCTCTGTATCAGGCCTGAAGACCCATCTTACAGAGAAGGTGATGGCAGAGAACAAAAGGCAAATCAAGAACACGTCTGGACCTACCACAGAGCAAGATCTAACACTTCAGGAGTGCTTTTCAGTGTTACAGCAGACTGATTCACAGCTCATGGGCATCCTTGTAAACCGAAATCTGAGAACTCCTTCCTGACAAGACAGCCCATTTGAAGAATGCACAGAGATATAACCGAGCTACCTAGATATGGTTCCGCAAGAAAATTCTGCATAACAACCACAAACATCTATGGCACTATCCAAATGTGAGACAACTTTGCTATAAAAAGCCAGCTATGAAAGCCAGCATATACTGACTAAAAACGTGGGGGAGGCTCATCGTTTCTTCATCTAACAAAACCTGCTTGCAGTGAAATGAGCTTGTACGCTCGCTGTCTAGGGACCGTGTCGAGCCCGAGCCCCGACCCTTCTGACGGCACAGGGATTTATTTTACGGGCGGGTCCCTGGCGGAGCAGGGCAGGTCGTGCTGCCTGAGGCATCCCTGCGAACGAAGGCGGCACTGAGGGACCGGGGAGCCAGCCGCTCCTGCTCGCCAGGGGACCGCGGGCAGCGGTCACGGCCGGAGAGGCCGAGCCGTCACCGGAGCCCTCACACAGCCCCGCCGCACCCGCCACGGGGCTCACCCTTGCCCGCCGCGGGCCGGTGGAAGCCCATGATGCGGTTGATCCGCTCCTCCGAGTTCATGAGCAGCTTCCTGCGGCGCAGCTCAGCGCGGCGCTGGGACGCCGAGAGCCCCGCGGGGGGCCCCGGCGGGGTGGGCTCCGCTCCCGCGCCGCCGTCCGCCATCCCCGGCACCGCAGGCCCGGCGCCGCGGGCCCGCCCCGCCCAGCGCGCAGGCGCCGGCACCGCCCGCCTCCAGCCGCTGAAGCTGGCGCCGCCATTTTGCGTAGGGGCAGCAGAAGGGCGGGACGCGCTGGGAGAGCTCTCCGCACGCCCCTCTCAGACGGCGCGGCGCCCGCACTAAAGATGGCCGCGCCGGCCTCAGAAGTGACGTCACTGCGCGAGGGCGGGAAGGGGCGATGGTGGCGCTGAGGGGAGCCGGGTGGCGGGGACGCCCCGAGGCAGCGCGGGGCTGGCCCGCTGCACACCGGGACAGCCTGCGAGCCTGGCGCTGCACAATGAGGAAACACCAACACAGCACCGCTCCAGGCCGCCGGAGCCACGGCGTTACGGAACAGGGAGCGTGGTGACTTCTTTCCAGAACGAGCCACTTGGCACAGTGTTCTCTTTATGGGCACTAAACCCCTGCCATGTGCCGGGTGGTGGAAGGGCCACGCTGCTCTTCCCTCAGCCGAGGGGTTCGAGCAGCTGAGGGCCCTGCCCGGAGAGCCCCGAGCCCGGCACTGCTGCAGCAGCACGGGGTTATGTGCACTGGGAAAAGAACAGCTGGCAAATCCAATTAATATTTCTACCGCCCTGAATGAGAGAATTCTGTATTTAACTAAATACAGAGTTCCAAGCTCATGCATTAACTCGTCTGTAATGGGCCAGAGGCAGCAGTGACAACATCTCAAAAAAATTTGCAAGCGTTAAGGATGGAATGGCTTTTAAAAAAAGCTGCTGAAATAATGGGATGTTAAATGAAGATACAGGATTACCTAAAATAAAATTGATCAGCATCTTGGAATGCTGCTGAAGGCTAAATTCCAACCATCACTGTCAGCTAGCTCCTGTGACCAACGTGGTATTTATCTCAATTAAATACACTGTTCTACTTTTATTTATAAGAAAAGAGTGATGGACTGGCATGAGTTCTTTCAATTAATTTTATTGAGTAGCCAAATCTGATAAATTAGCACAGATAAAATAAGCATTTGCATGTGTTATAAATGACTTTTTACAGGAATAAAACAGTGAAAATTACAAACTGTAAAAAGGAGGACAAGTAAATCCTGTCTCAAATTCAGAAGGGGGAAGATTTATAACTTCATACTGAAGATCAAGTCTTTGAGTTCAGAGAACAAAGATTTAATATTACAATATTATACACTACTTTACAAAATTAAATTTACTATAAGGATTACATCCATAATAGTAAACAGAACCTTAAAATCACATTTAATGGTCCCTTAACTTAACAGCCATTCTGCATCTTTGATTAAATTGTTAAGAAATTAATTCTAAATAAAATCATTCTAGTTATTGCAACATAGTCTATGTGGACTTAAACTCAAATATATTAATTTAAAAACAATAATGAAAGCAAAGTAAAATGGATGGTAACAATGTTGGCTGAACACTAATGTGTCAAAATAAGAAACAGTTTTTTAAAAAGTGTTTGCCTACAAAGAGACACCTTTACCACACTTTACGGTGGTGGAGTTGTGGTGCTGAGATCTAAGTACCAGAACCACTCCTGCAGTCCATCTTTAGTGTCCTCATTTTTTAATGGCATGTAAAAAAGCAATCACAGGTGTGTGTGTTCCTGTTCCCTGCATTGCCATTACAGCAGTAATGCCTCCCCCACTGCAAGGGAATAAACAAACAAAGTTCAAGAGAGAATTTCTTCCAAAGTGAAGAGAACTCCCAGAGAGTTCATCTGACTCATTTGTCATGTTTTGCTCTGTAAAACTCAGGGACTCAACTTCAAACTTGTTAAGTGCCACAAAGACTGACATCTTCAGCCATTAGTCTGGTGGACATAAAGCAATGAGGCCATCTCCAGTATTTCTGTTTCTTTAAAAAAGGAATATAGTAGCAAAATACAGTCATAGGAAGAAATAGACTTTGGGTGGGCTATTTGATGCAAGGATGGTTTTCAATCCAACATCTGAGTGATAATATACCCAAAACACAAGGTTTGGGGCAGAACCTATGCAAGTGCAGAGGTTCCATTTATGTTTTAAATGAAGAGACCCCTTTCCCCCTCCCTGGGAGAAAAAAAAAAATCAGACTGTCAAAACTTAAAAGACACCTCTTCACTATGACTAGAAACTGTGCAATTCTCTGAAAAGCAGTTCAAGTAAATATATTCCTGTTTGCTACAGAAGCAGCAGACAGGGAAGCTTAAATTGGTTCTATAATAATCTTTTCATGCTCTTTTGGCCATTGTTCTGAACTTTAGCTTCTTGTGCTCAAGAACAATTTCTCCCAAGGAACTCCTCCCCTGAAGTGAGGCAAATCCTGACAATCACAAGCAGCTACAGCCTGAAATGGGAGCAAATGTTTACCCAAATGTTGACCCTACTGACATTTGGATCTCCAGACATCCTAAGCACAGTACATTTGACCACTCAAGTGTTTTACCTCTTCAAATCACCTGCCCCAGAAAGTAGGTTTTGAAAGACCTTTACATTTACCACTATTAAATAAAAAAGCAAACCAAGATTTTTCCATATGCAACACTTCCACGGCCATTGGAATACTGTAACTTAAATACTTTTTACATTGGTAGCTATCAATGACAGCTTAATCTTGAAAACAGAGTAATTATCAATACACCTCCATAAAATTATTTAAATATTTTTGTACATAGTTTTTAACTTCAAGTCCGATGCCAGCTTCAATCTGTAGCTCTGCAGAATCTCAGATATTTAAAGCTTTTATTTGGTGCACACTGGCCTTGGACCTGGGCTCATTACACAGCTGCAGCAAAACCTTTTTTTTCCTAAAACTTCAGGCATGTCTGCAACCATACACATATCTCCAAATTCAGTATAATAATTTTGTTCTTGGAAAAATAATTTCCAATTTTAATGTCAGAATATTCAGTGTTGCAGACCAACATTTGGTCTGAAGTGCTGCCAACAAACTTGCTTCAGAAACACACCAGATCTGAGGTGCCCAACATTCACTTAGAGTAAACAAGAGCCAGAAGTCTACTGAACATAAACCAAGCAAAATCTGAGATAACCTTCCTTGCTCTTCCCCTCCCACACCATTCATAAAGAGAAATTAAAACTACTCCTTTCACTGAAAAAAGCAAAGCTTACAATCTACCTGAATCTACTTCTGCTGCCAACTCAGCCAGAAACTTTTTCAAATCAGTCTCATGTAGGGCCCACTCTTCCCCACTGTTTTTAAAATTAGAATACTGACTTATTAAAAGCTTCAACAAATTCAGCCACCTTATCCAGGTTAAGCTCACCTTTAGTCCTATTAGCCATAATCCAATCCAAGCACTGGCTTCTACACTTCACAAGCATTTGTTCATTTCACAATGAACACTTCTTTCATTGCTACTTTAAGCATTAAGTTGAACATTGAGATGCTCTGTCTGTAATCACTGGATACACTTAGAATTTCCCTGCCAATCATGATCAGTATTGTGAGGTTTTATATCTAGCAGCAACAAAAAAAACCAAAAAAACAAAAACAAAACAAACAAAAAAGTTACAGAAATATACATTTTGAACAACAAAGAACTCTTTATTTTACAAAATGTATTTCACCTTTTCAGTATTGCCTTTGTAAATGTACTTCATGCTGCAACTACTTACAGTAAAAACACGATTTGCAGCAAATTAAAGGTGCTCAACCAGTTCCAACAGTTTGATTTTTTTTTTAAGGTACAATATTATGTAGTTGCACATTTGATTCTCAGATGTGGTCCTTTATTTGCTTTAGTTCGTTGAAATCACAGTGAGAACTTCTCATCAACTGCCTCAGGCCACAGATTTAATGAAGATATTACAAGCACAATCATTCCTTACTGCAAAATCTTTCCTTAAAGAAGCCAAAGGCTAGTGTTTCATTTATTCACTTGCTGCTGTATATGAAGGAGGAATTCATAGTATGATAAGGCTGATTCTGTTCTGTCTTCAATCATATTTTGCAGAAAACTTGATTTCAATGGACTCTCATCCCTTAAAAACAAAAATATAAGTGTTTGAGTGGAATTAACTTTTGCCATGGGCTACCTACCCTGCATTAATAAAGTTACAGGTCAAGTGGCAAGACATTTCAAAAGCTTAAGGACATATGAAAAGAGGATCTCAAATAGCCTTTAGTAGTGATTAATCCTAATAAGTGCTCTTACCAGCATTTATTTCATTTATCTGACATGACCTAAAGATTCTTCTGTGACATTTAGTCTTTTTTAGTCTTTTGAAATTCTAATTGGAGACAACTCATAAGTCATATCTGTAGTCACATCTGTCAGGCACTGCACACACTATTGTTAAGAATTCCATTAAGAAAGTTCAGTATATGATATCCAAGTATGTATTGTTAACAGGTTGCTACAGAAGCAAAAAGACTGTTAAAAACCACTTACTTTATTATATATAGTATAGGAAAGAAAGGTCTCTGTTCTCTCAGCCAAGAAATGAAATTTCGTGTTCTGATGGATTCTGCTGTTTCGAGTTCTGGGAGATGTGTCTAAAAGCCAAAGGGTTTCATTAATAGAAAATTTCCAGAAAAACACTAAAAGGAACACTTCAACTAGCCCAACTCATTAGGTATAAAGAAAACCCAGACAGATACATTTTGTGATGTACAGTTTCAGTCTTCTCCAGAAAAACACTAAAAGGAACACTTCAACTAGCCCAACTCATTAGGTATAAAGAAAACCCAGACATTTTGTGATGTACAGTTTCAGTCTTGTCTTCTTTGAAGGGGCTTGAAATAGTCAAGAGCACTAAACTCCTATCAGCAATTGGCTGTCAGAACGGTGATGACTGAGCTGTGATTGATTCCTGTTTTGTTGCAGAAACTAAAGGATTTCCCACTAACTCACTGTGCTCACTATTTGCAAGCATTCTTAGTCTGCTCCCACAGGTCTGAGAAACTCAATCACTGTCAGCCTCTTCCTACTGAGTCTTCATGAGAACAAACTCCAAGAGGTAACAGCAATTATTTCTTTCCTTGGATCTGGATCTATACCACTAGAGGGCTAATAGCTGAGTAGTGTATTTTAATTCTCATGCAAATGATATTCTGGCAGCACTGTATGTATGAGTGATGAGCAGAGCAAGCACATACCATATTCTGTGGTATTGAGCCGTAATTTGGAACTCCAAGGACTTGGCTGATAAAACCCTGCCCACAGTTCTTCCCGATCCACAGAAACATCACCTGAAAGACACCCATCAATAACAACATTAACCCAACCCAAACCACACTCAGCAGTCTCGTACATATTTTGGGTTCTCAGAAAGAACACACCAAGTAAATTTGGATACTTTTTTAACTCCCCCCCCCATCACACAACTTACAGAGCCAGCATCCATAAGATAAGCACCATCCCTACTCAACTTCTCCACTGACAGCTGGAGAAGGGGTGGCTGAGGTATAGTTCTGTCATTTATGTTAAGGGCTCCCTAAAACAAGAACGAAAAACAGTGGTTTACATCTTGATGCAAAAAACCAGAACAGAATGCTAAATAAGAGGAGGATCTATTACACTGAACACTGGAGCTGGATCATTTTTCTCAGTTTAGCTCAAGCCATACTTAAAGTGATAATTTACTTTATTAACTAGTAATTTACTAATAAATCTTAATGTTTTATTTAGGGTGGATGTCATCAAATGTATCTTAGTTAATTAGTTCTAGAACTGGAATATCTGATTTGTTATGTACCAAAGATGTGATTTCTAAAATTGTTCAGGGTTTTACATGTTTTGAGAACATTCCCTGTTCTCAAAACTACTTGATATTTTAAAATAAAGGAAGCTACAAAGGGACAAAAACCACATTATGATGTCTTTATGTGTGATTTTATAGCACAAGATAATGACACAAGGCAAAGGTGAAATAAGTTAGGAAAAATCTTTTCCCATCCATCCATAGCAAAGCACAGCTTCTCTCCAGAATTCATCAATCCAGTTCCAAATTACAAATGCATAAATGCAACAAGTGGGAGAATATGAAACATTACATTTTAGCTGTGCAGCTTTAATATTGAAAACTTGGGAGATTGCTAACACATTTACTTTCACATCACATAGATCTTTGGAATCAAAGAGATTATGTAGCAAGGCCAAGACTCACCTCATCTGTGAGAGTATCGACTCTGTACAGACTGGGATGTGTCATGAGCATGAGGTAAACAAGGGGCTGGTTTTTCACCTGACACATGGTAAAGATGCGTTCATCCAAACGTGTGTTTGTCCCAGTTTGAAATGCTTTCTGCAAACAATCAGGCATTTAGTTTAACCATTAAAGCAAGGCAAGGTAAGTTGCAAGATAAATTAGAAATAAACAGTAGGTGATGTGTCTTAAGTTTTAAAGATGTATCCTAAATCTTTTCTCATTGTATTTTACTTCTCCACAGTTCTCTTCGGTGTTTCACATAGAAATCATACAAGTCTCATTCCCATTTCTGGATTTTAGAATTAACCTTGACCTGGCACCATCAATCCTCTTACAGCTGAAATGAAAGCACCCTGAAATACTAACATACACCTCAAAAATGCTACTTGATGAAATTTAAAACCATAAATATTGGAGCACTTTACAACTGGCTTCAATGTACAGAATCTTAGGTCTGTATTAACAAGAAAGATATAGTAGTTAATTAGTTCTAGAACTGGAATATCTGATTTCTTATGTACCAAAGATGTGATTTCTAAAACTGTTCAGGGTTTTACATGTTTTAAGAACATTCCCTGTTCTCAAAACTGCTTGATATTTTAAAATAAAGGAGGCTACAAAGGGACAATAACCACATTATGATGTCTTTATGTGTATGTGGTTTTATAGCACAAGATGATGACACAAGGCAAAGGTGAAATAAGTTAGGAAAAAACTTTCCCCATCCATCCATAGCAAAGCACAGCTTCTCTCCAGAATTCATCAATCCAGTTCCAAATTACAAATGCATAAATGCAACAAGTGGGAGAATATGAAACATTACATTTTAGCTGTGCAGCTTTAATATTGAAAACTTGGGAGATTGCTAACACATTTACTTTCACATCACATAGATCTTTGGAATCAAAGAGATTATGTAGCAAGGCCAAGACTCACCTCATCTGTGAGAGTATCGACTCTGTACAGACTGGGATGTGTCATGAGCATGAGGTAAACAAGGGGCTGGTTTTTCACCTGACACATGGTAAAGATGCGTTCATCCAAACGTGTGTTTGTCCCAGTTTGAAATGCTTTCTGCAAACAATCAGGCATTTAGTTTAACCATTAAAGCAAGGCAAGGTAAGTTGCAAGATAAATTAGAAATAAACAGTAGGTGATGTGTCTTAAGTTTTAAAGATGTATCCTAAATCTTTTCTCATTGTATTTTACTTCTCCACAGTTCTCTTCGGTGTTTCACATAGAAATCATACAAGTCTCATTCCCATTTCTGGATTTTAGAATTAACCTTGACCTGGCACCATCAATCCTCTTACAGCTGAAATGAAAGCACCCTGAAATACTAACATACACCTCAAAAATGCTACTTGATGAAATTTAAAACCATAAATATTGGAGCACTTTACAACTGGCTTCAATGTACAGAATCTTAGGTCTGTATTAACAAGAAAGATATAGTCCTGGTTTGTTGGGACAAAAAAAAAAAAAGCTGTAAGTCAAAGCAGGGCTCACTCCTCCCACCTGACTGGATCAAATCCTTATCAAACCTTTCACATGAAAAAGCTCAATATGAACATGCTGGTTAATTCCTAACCAAGATGTATAAATCCAAAACTTCTTTTTGAACCAAGAAACCAGTCTGTCCAACACTTAAATGACTTCTTGAAATTGAAATTCAATTTAAAAATACTTACACTGAGCAAATACTGTGAAACGCTTTAAACCTGTTGCAAGAACAGCCAGCCAAGTCCCCCCTGTGCCACACCCAGCTCACATCCACACTGAACTGCTGTGTGGCTCTACATTTCCAGAGACACATAAAATTGAGATTCCTGAGAAACCACTATCAGCACCCTGACACATTCTCTTCACTAGTCAGTGTCTTTTTTATTTTGCCATTCCATTGCTTAAAACATTTATACTTGTGGTTTTATGCACACTTCTGAATTCCTGCTTTTGAACTAAATCATTCTCCACCAAAGAACTGTCCTTTTACTTCAGGCTGACCTGCCAAACAATCACCCTCTTGCCTGGCTTCCTTTCCCCTCTTACCTGTTTCAAGAGTGCCAGTATGTACAGCGGGAAGAGGCGCAGGGAGAAGGGAGCAGTGAGCCCGGGCTGCTGGATGCTCAGCACGGAGGAGCGGTAGGCAGCCAAGGAGTCGATCACCGCGTTGACCAAGGCGTCCCGAGCGTCGCTCAGCGTGGCGGAAACCGAGCGGTCCACAGCTGAAAACAGAGCCAGGCTCAGTGAGAGGGGCTCCTCCCTCGGCAGGAATACAGCCACACACATTAACTTCTCCCACTTTATCATACATGTCGATGCAGCTTAAGCTTTTATTACATTCTAGGGGAAGTGCTTTGGAAAAAAGCTGAGGACCCATGATGATGCACCAGACTAAGCCTAAGCCCAGGCGATTACACACAGCTGTACTGATCCTTCACCTAAGCCAAGCATTAAAACCAAAACTCTCTTAGGACTGCAAATTCGAAAGCAGTCTTAGAATGAGGGAGAATCTTTTCTTCTAATCCAGAGGATTAGACCTTTAAGGATAAGCTCAGACCTTTAAGGATACAATCCACACATATCCAAACAAGCTCTTAGCACACTCACCCATATTGGCTAAGAGCCCTGTGATGGCCTGCACATCTGCCCCTAGGTACACTTCACTCAGCGTTGTGACAACAGGCAAGCACATCGTGTGGACACGAATTCGCCTTTCACCTGCAAGGAAAGACAGCTGTAACCTCCACACTTGTTCCATGAAGCAATACTACAAATGCCACTCAATCTAACCTTACCTTTGCTGGAGGTGTACAGGAGAGCTGACTGGAAAGAAACAACTTGCATATCAGTAAGACTCTCTTCCACTGACATCTGCACAGCGTAGCCGGCATCTGGGTTTACGTTGGGTAATGACAACAAGTCTGTAGATCGTACAAAGAAGTTCCCGTGGAAAGTATGAATGGAAAGACCTACAAGATAATCATGAATCAGTTTGGGTTTTACAGCTGTGAAGTACAGGTACCATATACAGATCTGCCATCAATGTATGACTCTACTGGAATGTTCCCTCTCAGTGAAATACATTCTCTTCAGAAAAGGTAAATACTGCAAACTGACAACTCATCCAAAGAATCCCCAAAGTCTAGCAGAAAGTAGGAATTAGCAAGGCAAATCCCCTTTAGATATTTTTATGGTAGTAGAAAATATCTAGATTATAAAACCAGTCCCTTGTTGAAATAGTTCAGGAACATTTCCAGTTTTGGCCATTATAAACTGGAACCTGGATGCCAGAAAACACACTGCAAACAAGTCTTAAAAAATTGTCTTATCTCTGGTACTGAATTTTACTTTTCTAATTTTTGCCTTTTAATTATTTGAGGTGACAAAATAGCTAGAATACCAATGGAAACATTCCCAAAGAGCAGCAAACACCCACTTCCCTCTTCTCCACCCCACAAAAATCTAAGAAGGTGAATTCATACCTTTGGTGCATCTTATCCTCATGACAGCCTCAAACCCAATTTTTCTAGTTAAATATCGCTTCAGTTCCTTTTGCAATTTCTCCACCTGGACAGGGTTGTGTTTATGATGGTAAGACTGGTAGTAGTAGACACTACCTGCAGAATACCTTGATATACAACCTGAAACAAAACCAGTATACATTGGAGAGTGCAAACAGCTGCTGCTGCAGTCTTTAAAGTATTAAATTGTTCACACCTGCAAATCACTCAAATACAGAGACAAATGTAGCTACAACTCTATATTCTAATATGTGATAAATTTCAGGTGTGAAATCATTTTCCATTGACCTGAAATTGCTGTCACTTGAAAGTTTGGTTCAATAGAAAAAAATAATTAAAATGCTAATAAAACTTGCTCTAAAGGCAATGACACTGATGGTTAAAAAGGCATAAAAAAGGAAGAAACTATTTACACTACTTGTATCAGTAGCACAAGGATCCTGACTCACTAAGGGAGGATATGAAAACAAGTAGGTTAAATCAGGACTTAAAGATGACATTCTATTCACTATCACTGCTCAGCAAGGACAAGTTTGTATCTTGACACACTGGATTAATTCAAATCAGGTACATCTAGTAAATATTACTGTAGATTCTATGCACTTGCTCAAAATACAAGAGTTACATGCCCCAAAAGAGCTTTAATGACTTACCTAGAGAAGCCAAGTCAGAATATTGCCCACTAAGAAGGAATAAATCCACTGCAACCTGTTGCCCTGAGCAGTCCAAGGCCAACTTCTTGTAAAAATCAGTCGATGGTGTCAAATGTATATCCTGTTAACACAGTGGAGTATTACAAAATACAAAGGAAATTCAAATTGATTCATACATTTATTGCCTGTTTTCAGGGACACAATCAATTCTTCATCATTGATTAAAAATATTTTATTTTTAAAAATAAGCTAATTAATTTGTGTTTATATTGCTTGGTTTGTATTCTGTTTTTTTCTGCTACTTTAAAAGGAGCAAGACAGGCACAAAATAAACCAACCCAGAAGAGGAAATCCCAGAACCACCTACATGCACAGAACAGAGATGTTAATACTCTCAGCCTTTCTGCCTTCCTAACCTTTGCTGTTGCTCTTTGGTTTGGCTCCTCTCGTGACTTCAGTGCTCCCATCCCCAGAGATGGGAGCTGTGTCTGGAAGACAGTGATTCTACCTCCAGTGGGGGACATCAGCTTAAAGGCAGCCTGTAATGCAGGCCCCAGAGCACTCTGAGTTTCCAGGGACTTGGTAAACATCTGTGGCAATGTCTTCAGCAGATCTTGAATTAGCTACAAATAAAAAAACAGGATTAGACCTATGAGTCTTCAAGGTTTTCTATTTTATATAGACCCAACAGCTGAACATAACCAAGTATTAGCACTTCTAATATTAAAGGAGTAAAGAAAAAGTCCTAAAAAAACTGAAGTACTGTCTTGTATCAGGTTGGGAACATAAATAAAAGACCTATTTTCACCTCAAACCTGGCATTTGAACAGCTGGTGTTAATGAGCATTAATTAATCAAAAAATTACCAAACATATCCCCAATTATGTAAATGTCTCTAGTTATGTAAGGAAGTCCTTGCTTCTTACCTCTTTATTTTCATTCAAATTTACTAATAAGTTTTCTGGCATTGGTATAAATACATCTGAAAAGGAAAAAATATTTGAGTTATCTTTCAAAAACACACCAAGCTTTCCCTGCCTTTATTTGCCAACCATCATACTTATTGGAAAAAAATATACAGTATCAGTGTATTAACCCATGTAAATATAATTATGTGGATTTGTTTTTATCATAAGCATTCCTGTGGCTAGAATCCCATGTTACAACAGAAATCAACAGGGCTGAGGGATAATCAAGACTATTAAATAAAATAACATAGCAAATATTTCCAGTGTTCATTCTACCCTGCCCAATAATATCCAGCAAAAGGTGATTTGAAACAAAAGGCAGAAGGACAAGCACTAAGCACTAGCTACAAGAAAATCTACATAAAGGTATCTAGCATCCATATTTGGGATTTCAAGAGGAATCTAGAGATTTGTACAAATTAAACCAGAAGTTAGGAAAGCTGTCTTCATGTTTGAAGTCATGAGCAGCCACAGCATTGCTCAGACATCAGGGAGATGTCTTCATAAACAAACTCACACATATGGTACTTCTAAAGTCATTACTAGAGAGACTAATGGTGTGATCCAGAAACTCCCACCAGATATATATTTTTAAAGGCTGTCATAACCAGAAGTCATTAATAGGCACTGATCACAGAAATTATTTTTGCATACCTTCAATATCTGAAACTATAAGCATCTGAGGCTGAGACAGACCTTCCTGAAGACTGTAGAAATGGATTGTGCTGTCAAATGTTATGAAGCCTATTTTTGTTCTAGTGTTCCCAGGAAGCCTGAAAATGAGACATATGGTGTTCAACAAGATGAAATTTCATTTCTGCAGGCTTTTTTTTTTTTTTAAAACATCCACTGCATCTCTCTGTGGTTGTTACCAAGCAGTGAGTTTAACAGCTAGACCCCAAAAGCTTCACTAAGTCATTCTGGAAAGAACAAAAACCACAACAAAAAAGGGGCTCATGGTAGAGTCACCTAGCTGACAGGTGAAAACCTTTTAAGGGTAATCAGGAATGGAAGAAAAGGAATAAACAAACGCAAAATTCCAAGTAGTGTTTCTGTAAGTTCAAATAGTATGCATTTTATGAGAAGTTTATTAGACATATGACTCTTTTCAGCAAATACTTATACAAATTTCAGCTTCTAAAAAATACAATTCAAAAGATAAACATGATGTTTACATTTTTTTGGGGGACTGATGAAGCATATAGGAAAGAGTCAGTCTAAAAATCAAGCCTCAAAATTACCTTTTGTACTGGTGTAGCAGTAAAGGACTGGCATGTTGGTGTCTACCACAAGTTTCTTAAGACAAATGAAAATTGGAGATTTTAAGAAAAAAGTACTTACAAGTCAAGATTGTCTAACAAGGTCTGGCAGACTGTATTCAAGTATCCTGTCTCTATGGCATTGTGAGAGACATCAAACACAAAGAGGTACACGGGTGGCTGAGGTGGACGCAGCTGAGCAAAGAAAAGATAACCTTTAATTTTCAAATACACTGGGTTTATTCATTCTATTGCAAGTTTAAACTGCTAAAACAGCACACAGATAGCTAAAATTTCTGAATGCATTTGCCTATTATTTGGCAATACCAGAATTCTAGTTTTCTTCCAAAGACACCTAAATATTCCAAATACAGAACAACTTTAACATCATAAATGTTTAGAAGTGAACTCTCCGAGGTCCTCCCCATGAGTCCTCAGATACACTCCTTAAGGCAACAGCTGTTCCACTGAACTGGAAAGCACCCTCTGAAACAAAGCTTTCTCTGACTTCCCTCTGAAAATAAAACAAAGGGAGAGAATAAGTAAAAGTAAATAAAGACTTACCATGTATTCAGATGGAGCCATAAACTCAATAGTAGCATTCTGGACTTCAGGTCTTTTATGAGGTTCTCCATAAACTCTTGTCACAGGATTATACAGGAATTCTTCAGGAACTATGCAGATAAGTTTATATATTAGTATTTCACACTAGTATTGGCTGTGCTGCATTTTAAAACAAATATATCAACCCTTTTGTGGCTGTTGGGCAACACATGGACAACTACACCAGGCAGTGGAGTTCTTACACTTGTGCAAGGGTACTGTGAGGACTACTGGGGCTCATCCTGTTTCTTTAGGGACACCACTGTCACTGGGAAACATTTCTCATGACTCCCAGCACGACTGACAACAATCCCCCTACTGATGTGGCCAACAGCAGTCCAGTCTCAAAGGCCAAGGTGGGGAAGGTTAACTGCAGCACTCTGAAGCACATCTCAAACTCACCATCATTGACTCTGTAGCACAAATTGCATTTCCACCTCCTTTGGTCTAGGAAGCTGACAAAAGGGTTGATGTACGTCCGGCAGGAGCGGCATCTCACAATAATACTGGAAGTGACCACTGGCAATTGCTGGAAAAGAAAAGCTTCCTGTTTTAGAGCATCCTCACCCTGCAGCTGCTCATCTCTGGTAACAACTCCACCCACACTGTGCTGCCTAGTGAAGCAAAGCATCCTTGTTGAAAGGAGTACTTCTGCATCCTCACAGGATCACTGCAATTCCTTAGTAAGACAGGTAGGAACTGAACTCTAACATATTTGACTCTGTGGATTCCCTTTCCAAGCCTCTAAATTCTTGAACTTTACACTGGTTTAAGATCAAGTCCTGCACCCAATACACATCAAAAAGCAGGGGGGAAAAAAGCCCACACTTTGAAAAATCAGTTAAACTGAGAAAAAAACCCAATATTTAAGAAAGACATTGCTAAATTCAAAGTCTTCTGGCTATTTCATGACATCCAAATGCCTTCAACTTTGTCAAGTCCTGAATTCAGAACTAGTACTAGGTTTGAAATTAATAACTACAACTGATACGTGACAACCTGGAATTTAGGTGTTGTCCTCTATCACAGTCCAAATTCTGTGCTGCCTTTAAGCTTTTGGGTTTTTGAGGTTTGGGAAGCTTTCTTTTTTGTTAAGAAGTGAAACCTGAAGGTTTAAATATGGTAGGGAGAAATAATTCAGAAAAAATACAGCAATCTGTATGGAAATGTCAGTTACTATGGCAATTCTTCTGGGCCAAGATACCTGCCCTTGTTTTAAAATTCATTGTCTGGACTCTGTAAAGGCATAGTTGATATTTCAGCATGTAAATTTTGAATATTTCTCATACCGATAAGTCTTTGAAAGGATGAAGCAGGAGCCCCAAAGGAAGTTTGGCTTTATTCAATAAGGCCTGAGTTTGAGGAATGTTAGTCAGGGTACAGCGGAACAACCTACATGGATGACAAAGGGTTATTTTCAGAGGCTTTCAAATAAATTATGATTTCAGTAGTACATTTTTCTAGAGCTCTTAATGGTGAATTTCCACTTCCAGATGAAACATCTCTACCTCTCTCAAATCATTTTGTTTCTGTCTGAGCTTGACCCACAGTACCTATTTTGAGTTTTTATTTTATACAAATGCTCTTTACACAGAACTGAGTGTCATTTTAGTCACTCAAGTAAAAGTTAACCCCGACAATATTCAAATTTGCACCAAATCTTTATATACTAAATATTATTTTGGAATAAATCAGAATCAGCAATGTTTAAAAGGTGGTTTTAAAAACACAGTAACTATAAACAATCCTACAATCATGTTCTGAGTCTTGAGCACTCAGCAGCTTCCACAAGGTGCAGATGTATGTGGCAGTTTTGCAAATCCTGTCCAGCTTGTTTGCATGAACAACGTCACAAAGGCGCTGTTATTTCCTTTATCTACCATAAAAATATTTGCAAAGCAGAAGTCCCTGACTATACACAGTTTGGTTTGTCTCCTCAGAGAGAATAATTGATTAACCAACTGCCAGTCTCTTGTTTGAAATTTCTTTTACTCCATTGTTTTAAATGGTTACTTTTCAATATAGAGGCCACCCATGTTTCTTCAGACACAATCACTCTGGTGTACCTCATCTGACTGAATTAACTGCTATTTTATATCTTCTCATCCATACTCACTGCCAGGCCTAAAGCTTTTATATTATACCTATCTATAGCTGCCTTGTTAACATATTTTTCCTTATACTTTCTACAAAGATGATTTTCCCCCTTCAAAGTTAAACCCACTTACTGCCTTTATTGTAACAGTGAAGCCCATTTTCAATATCTTCTACTCATAAAATTAAGAAAATACTTTGTGAAATTATATTTATAAGCAGGAATTTATATTTCTATCTATTTTGATGTATTATAGCAAATGCATAATCTTACTCAGGATTGCAGTTGAGCTTCTGGATGTCTTCATGCAAGTTAGGGACAGGAGCCTTCAAAAGGGTGGTAGGCAGAATATTTCTTTCTTGAAGAAGATTCACAGGTCTTAACCCTTCCTGCTGTAGACTCAGGCCAGCCATTGATGCAGTTAAGTGATTAGTGCCCAGGGCAGGCTAGAGTCAAATCAAATTTCACAAATTAGCACCAGCTACTTGGATGAAACCCATAGTCTGTTTGAAATCACATCTATATCCCTTTCAGTCTGTTTTGCTCATGTACTAACTGTCATAGTATCAATATATTTAGAAATGCTGGTTGTCACATGAACTTATGCATGTAACATAACAGAGGAAAAAAGCATAAATTGCTAATAAAACTCTTGAAATACAGAGGCTCATCTGGTGAAAGTGTTGGTCAGTTCACTTTGAAAGTTCAGGGAAAAAAACCCAAACACTTCAGCTAACAATAACAAAGCCATGGAAGAGAAACATGCCAAAAGCAGCTGAAAGTTTCAAAAGAAACATCCTGAATAGATTTGAGGGTGGAACACTTCACAAAGAGCTGGCACACAGCTTTTCCAAACTGGTACCAAGGCACAGGCAAAAGCAGTAATTCTGGGCTATGTCTTTCCTGTTGAACAAAAGGTGTCCAAACAGGGAACAAACTAAGCAGCATCCTAGGGATGCACAACACCTACCAACATCACTTTTCTTTATCCACACGCCCCCAGCAGAGGCAGTACTGAGATAGAAACCAGACAACCTTTACCTGGTGGAAATGTTTTGATCCATCTGGATACTGCAAAGCAGATGCATTCACTCCTGGTGCTCCAGGTGCAGAAGTATGTTGGTAGCCTGGAGGTAAGGCAGGGTAAGAATACCCAACACTTCTATTCATCTTAAGATTCGGGGCTGCAGGAGAATGATGTGGAGTTGCTGGAAGCAGAGTAGACAGATACTTAATTGCTGAAGAACTGTGTCTTACTTGAGGCATTAGTACAACAGGAGAGCTGCCTGTTCAGTTTCTAAGTCTAAAAAATACAGCTGCTGTCAACTTTGTAAAGGGCTCTCACCTACTTTACATATCACAGGCAAACACATGCTAATTGTCAAGGCTTCAAATTTTGCATTTAGCTTCAAGACAGGCATTGAACCAAGTACATATGTTTGTACACAAATGCTTAAACTTCTATCTTTCCCAGACTCTTAAAAGTTCCATAATAACAACCACTTTTACTCCCAAAGCCTTACCCATGAGGCCACCACCTTCAATTGCATCGTAGCTGTTTTGCACTACAGACCCATCACTGGCAGCAGATCTGGCATCACCTTTAAAGAAAAACAACCAAAGGAAACATTTGCACAAGTTATGAAGAAGTTTTAATGAGGTAACTGCAAAAAATATCCTACTTGCTGGATGAATATTAAGGTAAGCATAGCTTGAATCTACTTTGGTTTTGACCCAGGATGAAACTGAATTAAATATACACTTTGTCCTCTTTCTCACACACATGCCCCTGGCAGACATGACCTCAACAAAGAACATTCATAAAACATCACAATCTTTTTTTTTTTTTTTAAGGAAAACAGAAGTCCCTATACTTCTGGTTGAATAGTCATTTATGACTCCTTCCAATTAGGGATTTGCCATAGCTTCCAAGCCAACATGCAGTAAAGGGTCAGGGGATGCTCCCTCCTCAGCAGAGGAAGTCTCTTTAGGCTAGCTGTAGTTTTCCAAGTCATCTGTAGCTTAGGTTTCCTTAGTAACCCTCAGCTTAACCCTGAAGAACTTTTTCCCCTGACAATTCACAGAAACACCAAATTCCCTACACATACACATTTAGTTCACTACTGCTCACCAAACAGCAACAGCTCTGACACAGTCACACACCAGCCAAGAAATTCAATCTAAGATAAGAAAAACCTTGAGACTCAGAGAGTGCTCCCAAAGGACAGTTTTTGGTAAGCCAACTATGTCTAAATATACTAACACAACTATATATTGCTAGGGACAAGTAGGTACTCTATTTTTATTACCATTTTTTATTAAAATCTCCAAAGATGACCCAAAAAAAGGAACTTACATTACACACTGAATCTTCCTAGCAGCAATCAACCTGCCACATAGACTAAACATTTTTATCTCTCCAGGGCTCTGGAAATGTTTCTTTTCATGATGAAAAAAATATTTTCTAAGCAAAAGCTGTTTCTAATGCATTTAATACACTCCAAACAAAGTTAAATCTGAATATACTATTCTTGTGCTCACAGAGCTACCACACATAAGAAACTGTCAATCTGAACATGCAAGGAACCAACAGCTTTGACAGAACTCTGTTTGTAAAAATAAAGCTGCCGACTCGCACATGGCCCCATCCAGCATGGGCACTAAATGCCAAACAACTGGAGTCTGTCTGACACAGAGCCCTGAGGAGCTCTTAAACAATAGCATATTTGTGCAGGGCCCACAGGAGACACTCAGTCAGGTATCTGTCTTCAACAGCTGGCACTTCACAGCCTCTAGTAACTTCCTTCAGCAAGCTAACAAATGCAAGATGTGTATTGCAGTGATTTTACACAGAGAAGAATAAGGTACAGCTACGTAAATAGCAAGGAATTGCAAGGTCCACATTTTATCTCTCCCTGTAGAATGAACAATACAGGAGTCATGCATGGACTTCTGTCCTAACAGCAGTCAGGAATGCAGAGAAATGAGATCCCTATCACTTTCCAATACACAAAAGGAAAAAAGCCAACTACATGCCAACTACAGCAGACACGGCCATGTCAAACAGCACTTGGAAATCTATTTTCAACTGTTAAATTTCTTAAATTTTATAATACATGTTTACAACATTTTTTCTTCTTTACAGGTCCTTGCCTACTCTTTTCAGATTCAATTATTAAATGTATTAGTATAAATTTTACAATTTGAGTTTCTAATAGAACAACATGCTTGACTTTAAAAGTTGCATATTACAGCAAGTTGTAGTGCTTGAATTCAACGTAAAGAGCAAATTGTTTCTTACCTTCTTGGTTTGGAGCTGATTTTAGCATAGACTGTGCACTGGGTGGTCCTGCTGCTGCTGCTGGTGGCCTAGGTGGACCACCAACTGGTGGAGGTCCTAAAGGTGGCCTTGGAGGGTGGAGAGGAGTTAAAGGCTGAGTCACTGGTGGAGGTGCAGATCCTATAAAGAGATTAACTTTTAGAAGGAGTTTAGCCCAGCTGAAAAAATCACAAAAGTTTTGTTACAAAAATGCACAGATCAAATTCTAAATATTCTTGTTATTCAGAGGATGAACAGCATGACATACATAAATCCTAACATTGGGTAGAGGATCTCAACTTCAAGTTGATTTCTCATTCTGGGTTCCTGCATTTACTGATCTCTTTCAGCCTTTTCTTGCTATTGTTGGCAAGAATTTCAAGATGTACAGAAAATATCCCAACTCTATAACCAAGCCTGGAATAATCACTAAACAAGTTTAATTAAAGTGATCATTGTTATTAAAAAAAAAAATACCAGGGAAATGGCTCAGGAGGATTGAATGGATATAAAAATTACTCATCCCAAACACTTGCTCTGATTTTATATGCCACTTTCCAAAATTTCTCTGCATTTTCCTCACTAATTCCAAACTACTAACCGTTTATTCCAATTAAGTGCCAGAAACAGTTTAATAAATTCTGCAAGCTTAAGACATTTTGAACAGCATAAGAAAATTAGGCAGGCATATAGCAAAAAAACTAGCATCAATAAAAATCTCTAATGAGACTAAAAGCGCTTAACAAGAAAAATTATTTGCTTTAACATGGAAAATATTTCTGTACCCAAGTCCTCTTTGCATGCTTAGTGAGCAAAAAACTAACAGCATACAGCAGTTTGGCAAAGAGAAACTTGAGTATTAACTGTTTCCACAATAATCACAAGTTGCACAATAGAGCTATTTTGTATTAGAAAAGCTTTTACCATTGCATATACCAGCAGTAAAGCAGCAGGAGCAGAGTCTCCTACTTTTAGAGTACTTTCTGAAGACTTACAATTATCATTAAATGTGAAAATTACAAGTTTGGGGGAAGGAACCTTTCCACTGAACTGACCTCTATTTCAACAGCACAGAATGCTTTTCAGTTTCCAGGCTGTGCTCCAGTTATTTGCATCAACCTGACAGGCTATTCAGAAAATTACCTGAATCAAGTGGTTGCTGACCATGCTCACTAAATAGAGCTAGTTTGCAATGGTGAAGTCCTGGTCTGAAACATACTAATGCTCCAACAGCTACTCCAGGAAATGGTGACAGTCACAGAAACAGCATCACCCACACACAGCATCCCAAAACAAGGGGACACCATTCAGGAGTTACCTGCTCCAGCCAGCTGAAACACCCACCCTGGGCACAGAACTTTCATTTCTAACCCAAAGAAAGCATCCAGGTATTTCTGATGGGTGTACCTGCTTTAACAATCTTCCACAAGCAAAATGTCACTGCAGAGTCAGTTCTACACTCATTATATTAAAAGGTTGTTGAAAAATGGACATCGGTAGAATATCACAAAGTTCTGATTACCTGGCTTCATGTAGCTGTTCTGCAGAGGAGGAGCCCCTGGAGAAGCAGCATATTGATAACTCCCTGCAGGATTTGTACTTCCTGGCAATGACGATGGTGGCTGAGCTGACCCTGTCCCAGGCACGTGAGCCAAATGGCTGCTTTGAGCCCCAGGTGGCTGGCTGACAGGAGTCTGGCTGTACTGCCAGTTTGAAAGCACCGGGGGGCTGGCTCCAGGGGGAAAGCTCCCAGCACAGAATGCAGCAGCGGAGTTCTGTAATGCAGGCGGCAGCACTTGTGGAACAGGACCTGGCTGTTGTACTGGTGACCCAGAGAAAGCTGCCACTGGTGGTCTGTTGAGAGTCTGGCCAGGTCCTTGGTAGTTGTTTAATTGAGAAACATTCTGAGAGCCACTATAGCTGTACTGTCCAGAAGACTGATGTGGAGGAACCTTTGCTGGCACCTGATGGGAGTACGATCCTGGAACTGCAGGGCTGTATCCCTGGCCATCTGGGGAATGCATCAGCTGATTTTGAACAGGGCCTGGAATGAAAAAAAAACTACACTATTTAGGAAGTCAGCGCTGTGTATCACTTTTGAAAATAAAAGATTGTTCTCGTGAATGTCTTTCCTCAGGATTTTATTAGTCTCCAAGCCATTTTTTATTTAAACCATTAGGTGTGACAGAAGTACTACTGCAAGGGACATTAATTCAGCAGTATTTTCCTATTGACACTTATATCTTTGTTTTGTTTTACAGTAACCTTGAAACCACTAAGCATTCCAGTACCATAAATGTTCCTGCATTGAAACTCACACAGGATCCCATCCAGTCTTCAGAAGCCCCCAAAAGCAAGCTGCCCACAGAGGAGCACTGTGCCACAGCACTGACACACGAGCAGACTGAAAGCGGAAGATCCATTGCGTAAGAGCTCCACTTCACACCATGGCTGACACCAACCTACACGTCAGCTTACCACAATGACACCCCCAGCCAAGTGCCAGCATAGGTCACCACGCTTCTTCTCAAGTGACTGAGTTAATCTATGAAAGTTTCTGCAGTTAATTTTAGTATGAGAACTATTCGTACACATACGGCTCATGTGAGTGGCCAGCTGGTCACCAGCACAGAATGAAGGGTAAGTTCATCATAAAGTAATTCAATCAGGAAAAAAAACACTTGACAGGTTGATGATGCTCTTTATGCATATGTTGGTTGGTATACATGAAGTAAGGTTTACTCATTTGAAGAAGAAAAAAATTGAAAAATGAGTTAATACCTCTCCAAAGAGTAAACAACGCGAGCAAGAACATCAGATTTCTGCTTTACAGAGGAACAGGTTGACAGAATCCCATGGGATTTCCAGTGCAATAAGAGCTCCATCAAGAAAGGTACTACTAGAGATTGTTCATATCATTGCCACAAAATGGACATGCTGAAGAGAGACTATCAATTTTTGAGTGGAATTCTTCTGAGCAGAACACACTAGATGCTGCAGGCCACAGCCAGCTATGACTCCTCCACAGCTACCAAAACACTCTCCAGTGTTGTATCATTCAGTTCAGCCAGTCACATTGTGGCTCTCCTCATCCCTAAAAACACAACTTAGATACTAGAGACATTCCACACACACAGTTACACATTAAAAAAAAAAAAGATGGCTGGTTTCCTATTAGAACATAATGGCTAAATTCTGAAAGGCAAGCAAGTTCACATTTCCAAGTTAAAGTAATTCACACATTTCTGACAATAAATTAAGCTAAATGCAGAATACATTGAAATTCTTAGTTAGAACAAACACTGCACTGATCATTCAGCTCCTCACTCCTTAGAAAACCTTAGGCTCTTTGTCACACAACTGTTAATTCACTGAATACTGCAGGTCCATATAACTACTACAATGAGTGATCTCATCCTCACTGCCTCTTCTTTGTGCATGAAAGGTACACACCATATTATTCTCAAACCATTAATTTCAACATGCAATTTATCATTCAGTTAGGAAATCCAGTTATACCCTACTGTCCTTACAATGCTGCTCATAGATATTTGTAATTAATAATTCTCTAAAATCAAGGGTGTTTAAAGAAAAAGCTCACTGAGATGGAAATGCTTACAGTTATGAGTAACCTTCAAAAATTACCCTGCAGTTTATCAGATGGGTTTCCTACTGGCAATTAAACTTGCTAACTTTAAAAATTATGAATTCTTATCAAATCTTCTGACTGCATCCACACAAACACTGATATAACATCATCACTACAAACTGTAGGAAAAATACGGAACAAATACAAATTGATTTAATAACTTGTTTTGTCACCTTATGGCATGACTCTATCCCAGGCAGAAATCAGAGTATTTGGATTGCTCTCTTATGCACTGTTTTCCCTGCTTAAGGATAAAACAGTGGGAGTGAGGTGATGCCAAAAACTGACCTACTTGATATTTTCTATGTCACTTTATGCAGAAATATAAACGGTCCAACTTCAATTTTTATTTTTAAAGTCAGAAGCACAATGAAAAATCTTGACATCCTCATGTAATAGTTCATGTTTCCAAGACAAGTCTGCACTAAGCTGCCAGAAAAAGCCATAGAAATAGCACTAAGGGACAAAACCCCTTTACAAAGAGTTTCACAGTGCACAAAAACTTTCCAGGACTCGCTGGTTGGCTGCAGCCAGATACTCATCTTGACATGACCTCTCCACTGAGACCCATCAAGGAGTATCCAGGCTGCCCAGCTTTTCCCAAATGCTGCTGGTTTTCTGTGAAACCAGAAACAAACAAGAAATTCTGTGTGGACTTAAGAGCCACTTCACCCACACAGCAGCAAAACAGCCAACACTTGGAGACCACTGAAAGAAATTAGTAATAGAAGAAAGGCCACCTATTTAACAGCAAAAGTCTCCTCTGCAACAACACAAGGCCATTTAAGGCTCTGAGAGATCAGGAATGGCTCCAGAATATGTATGAAGGTCGCTGGATGGTTTTATAAAACAGTCAAAGTACTAATGTGGACGGCCAGGATCGAAGTAATATTTTCTACCACACAGAATTTCACTGTCCCCTGCTCCAAGCCAGTCACTCAGCACATCACTTTTGCCAGCCACGAGCTCTCCCAGCTCCAGGGAGATGCAAAGATAAACACTCTGAAAAGTTACATCCCAAGAGATGCTGTGGAATCAGTCACCACCAGTGCCCACTTCATCTGAGTCTGACACACTGGGTTCCAAACCCCACGACATCAAAGTACCTTGCAAAGGTATCACATGAGAAGAGTGAAACAACCTAAAAGAATTGTTTCTCCTTCTTGCGTGCACTTCAGATCTCTCAACTGGAAAGCAAATTAGACACCTGCAATTAAATGAGTACAGAATACTGGTCCTATTAGAAGACAAACAGAAATGAAGGAGAGGAAGGTTGTTGCCAAGCAACCCAAAGCTCTGTGCTAAACAATTTCCCGAGCAGCACACGGTGCTGCTGTGACAATTTACTGCCTTAGTGGACATGCAAGCTCAGGGAGTTACCTGCAAACACTTCAGCAAGCAACAAGCTGCAAGGAAGGGCTGACAGCTGTAGAGCAATTTATCATCCTGCTGACTGTTTTCTTTCCTCACAGACCACTGTAAGCACCACTACAGCACTCACTACCCCCAAAACTGTTTTATAAAGCTGTGGTGTTTGTATAAAGGTCAAGGATCACAGCATCCCCTCAAGATACATTTTAAACAACACTACGAACAGTCCATGCTTGAACAATTAGATTTATTTCAAAGGCCAGCAACCCAAACTTTATCTCTAACATACCGTAACAACTGTTTGATTTGCATAACTCTACATTTCAGTTCTTTATTTTTCATACACCTGACAGCTGAACAGCCTGAAATTCCTCTTTCTCGGCTGCCTCTCCATGACTTCCATTATGTGCTTAGTCTGACACGAGGGAAATGAGCAAACATACAGCAATGCCAGTCTGTAAATCATCCCACTCACTCACTCCATTAGCTAACATTCTCTTTGCACAGGCTCTGCTCAGACCATAAGCTCTCCAGGACACAGCCTCTCTCTCCACATTATATTCATACTCTTCCCACTCTCCTGACCCTAGAAGCAACTACACAGTTAATTGCAAATTGTCGTTTTGCTGATGACTTTGAAGAAAAGCAATAAACACACTGTGCAGGAGGAGGGGGAAGAAAAATCAAAAGATCTCATTACAACTGAACTGCTTATGATGCAGCACAGCTACTGAAACACACAAGTGTATAATTAAGGAAGCAAGTGCAGAGGATGTGTATGTGAAATCAGGAGACACTTCCATCAGCACAGATTTGCACACATGCAACGAAAACAGACACACAGACAAGGCTGGCCCTGAATTTTTTATTCCTATATTAAAACACTGGCTGGTAAGCTCAGTTTCACCTTCACCATCTCGTTGTAAAGAAATACGTTTTGAGGGGAATAAAGCAATCAAGGCTTTCCCAGTTGGCAGCACACAGAACCAGATAATGCCGGCTTTACGAGAATGACAAGATAAGAAAGGCCCGCAGCGCCGCGGGCTGAGCTCAGCGATAACCACAGTGCCACATGTACAGCCCGGTTCAAAGGGCCAGACCTGGCCGTGTCACCCGTGTCACCCCCCGGGCTGAGGGACGGCCCGGCAGCTCTGACTCTCATTCATACCGACAGACAAATAACACCCCGTGCGCTACTTCTGCCATCGGGATAAATCAGAACGGAGATTTACGGTGCCTGACGCGCCGCTCTGTGCCCTCCTCAGCGCACTCGGGGCCGGGCCCGCTCCGACAGCCCCTCGCCCGCCGCCCCCGGTCCCGGCAGAGCCGCTCCTCTGCTCCCCAGCCCAGCCCCGGCCCGCGGGGAGGGCCCTACCGAGCCCGGCCGGCTGTGACCCAGCGAACGGGCCGTCCCCGGCACCCCCTCCCCGCGCTCTGCCCGCCGCCCCGGCCCCGCCGCCCCGGGGCGAAGGGCGGCCTGGGCCCGGGGGAAGCGCCGGGCTGGGCCATGCTGCGGCCGGGAGCGCTCGGAGCCGCCCGTGTGGCGGCGCCGGCCCGGGCGGGGGGGACGGACCCACCGGAACTGCCGGGCGGCCCGCGCAGCCGCACTGCGGACACGTGGCACTTCCGGGAGCGGCGCTGCGGATTAAGGGGGCGGGGCCGGGGGCGGGGCTGGGCGGGCACGCGGAGGGGCGGAGCCGAGCGAAGCCGAACCGAACCCAGGCGAACACAGCCGAGTCGCGCCGAACCGGGGCGAGCCCAGCCGAACCCAGCCGAAGGCAGCCCGGTCGGGACCACGCCCGCCCATCCGAACGGAGCCGAGTCCAGCCGAACGCGGACGAGCCCACCCGAGCGTGTGCGGCGCGGTGCCGGTGGCGGAAGCAGCCGCGGGGGGCGGAGCGGGCGCAGCCGCGGGTGAGTGCAGCTGTGGGCCGGTGTCGGTCGGTGTCCTCGGTGTCGGTGCTGCCCGAGCCCCGGAGCACCTCGGCTCGGCGGTGGGTGAGCGGGGCGGGCGGTGAGGGGTCTGTCCTCCCCGGCCGGGCCGGGGGTCCCTGCGCGCCCCGACCAGCCGCGGCCTGCGCGGGGCCGCGGGCAGCGAGGGGCTCCCGGCGGCCGCTCCCCTCCCTTCCCTCCTGTCCCCTCCCTCTCCTTTCCCCCCGCGCAGCCCGGGGGCTGGCGGCAGCGGCCGCTCCGTGCGGCTGCCCCGGTGCCCGCGGGTCCCCAGCAGCGCTGCCTCCGTGGGTCTGCGATGCTGAGGTGCGCTGGGTAACCCCGTAACCCGCAGGTGCCCTGCGGCCTCCCTGGGCAGCCGTCTGCCACGTTGTGCCGACCTGGCAGTGCTTGTGTGGAGTATTGTTTTGTCTTCAGAAGTTGCTGCTTTTAAGGGTTGAGTTCCTGAGCGGGTGCGCGGTGCAGCAGCCCTGCAGCGGGGATGTGCTGCTCTGACAGCTGCGCTTTGTGGGCCGGGGCTGCCTAAACCTGTGTCAGGTGCCCTCAGGAGCTCG